AAGTTAGTGTCATTAAGGCTGGAGTGTTAGTTGTTTTGAAATTAAGAATGAATCCTAAAATTAAAACTATATCTGGTAACAGGGACCTTAAACAGATGTGTGTGTGTGTGTGTGTGTGTGTGTGTGTGTGTGTGTGTGTGTGTGTGTGTGTGGTGTTTGGGAAGTAACATGAGATGATAGATGTGGTATGGATATTAAAACAAGAACAGGCCAAGTGAACACAGAATTGAGAACTGTTAGTAATTATTGTGTAGGGGAGGTGTTCTACAGAATCTACAGGATTGTGTCCGTCACCATCCTCCTGTAGGGTATAGGAAGACCTGAGTCGCATGTTGATCCCACTTGAACACCCTCGACAGACTCCACCATTGTCCCCTTCATTAGCTCCTTTGAATTAAGTGGGAAGACCACCAAACTAACCCCAGTGCCCTCAACAAGATTATGATCACCAGCTTCAACACTGAACTATGCCAATACGTCAGGTTTTTTTCGCCTCTCGTCTTCACTAACAATTCTTCTTCTGTCAATCTCACCACACCCAGATAACCCGCGACAGACACAGAAGAAACATTAAACACGTCTTCAAGGCTAACCTAAGAGAGAGAGATAAAAAAAAAAGAGCCCAAGTCAACACCACAAGCTCGACGGATCTGGCCACTGACCGAGCCCAGTGGCGGATTCCTTCAAGACTGTCCCTCAGGCCCAATGGCGTAAGAGAAAGGAGAGGAAGTGTAACCCAGACTTGCGTAACTCACTCCCAGGTTAAAACTCCCCCCCCCCCCCTTACACACGCACACACTTCTGGAGAACCATTTCTTGTATTTCCGGGTCCCTCTAGTTCCTGGTTAACGAGCGATCAAGAGGTCCTGGTGCTTTTAATAGTCAATAACCAGTCTTGTAGCCTTCACATTAATCGTAGTTCCGGGTTCTCGTGTGTCTAAGACAATGAGCATCCCATCTTACAGGTTTTAGGGGTTAGAACAAGACAATACACAATCGTCGAGGGCGTGACTGGTGGAAGGCCGTGGAGGCGACCCCCCTCACACACTCCAGACTGGCTGCGTCATTACCACACACTCCCTCTACAAATATTTCCTCGTCTCCACCTCCTGTTCTGATTCACTAACTCGCATTCAGCCTGGTACTTAGCAAGTAAATAGTTAATCTCCATGTTCCCATTCTGAAGATGTAAGTCAGTGTCAGGAAGTGTCTGAGGGAAATTAGACGTGTGTGGAATGGCTGCGCGTGGAGGGGGCGGTGTTCCTCAAGGTCTTCGTGTAGCTCCAACGCTATGTCAATGTTGTCAGTGATGAAGCATTAACGAGAATAGGTTTGGTGTTTTAATGAAGATCTTCTCTGTATAACTACTCGCTTGTGGTAGAGGGTTGTGAAAAATGAATAATCTGTTGATACATTATATTCCCCATACAGTTTAATCTTCCTTCGTGAAAATGGCAGAACAGGTGACGTGTCCTCATTGGGTGAGGTCAAAGGCCACCTTAGAAGACGGATAGACCATCTGATAGCGGCTCTGGAAGTAATTAGAATCCCTTGGACACTAAAATAACCTCCCGACGTAGCGTTAGATATTAATGATGAACACACTCCCGACGTGTGAAGTACGTAGACAATAACTGATTGCTAAGATTGACAAATTATTAGTGGATACATTTTTAACCTAACCCAGCCCAACGTAACCTAACCCTAACGTTCCTAACCTAATGTAATGTAACCTAACCTAACCTCCCTAGGTAAGGTTAGGGTGTTTAATCACTGGGGTAGAGGTGGAGGTGTGTTCCGGGTCTATGCAGTTTTTTTAGTGGATAAACGGCATTGGAACCTGAATACCGATGATTTTCATGAATATATTTTTATTATTATTTTTTTTTTATCATTATTATTATTATTATCATTATTATTATTATTATTATTATTAATATCATCATCATCATCATCACCTGGATTTACCAATCATTAAAACAGTCCTCTCACCCTCTGTTGGTCTTGAGTCATCAAAAGATCGTTTTAATGTACAGCCGACCTCATCTTACCCTCCTTTCTGCCCACACACGTTTATATATTTATTCCATGTTTTTATTCCCTGTTTTATCTTTTACTTTCTAATTAACGAAATCTCAGAATAAGAAGGAATTGTATCTGGTGTTTGAGTTGGTGTGGGTCAGGTGTTGAAGGGGACGTGGGTGTTGGTATGGGTCAGGTGTTGAAGGGGACGTGGGTGTTGGTGTGGGTCAGGTGTTGAGGGGGATGTGGGTGTTGGTGTGGGTCAGGTGTTGAGTGGGACGCAGGTGTTGGTGTGGGTCAGGTGTTGGTGTGGGTTATATATTGAGGGGGATGTTTTTTGTTGGTGTGGGTCAGGTGTTGAGAGGGACGCAGGTGTTGGTGTGGGTTATGTATTGAGGGGGACGTTGATGACTAGTTCCTGTAACCATATGTTGACTGTAACTATACATACATACATAGTCAAGTGTGTTATGTTATCCTTGATAAGTGAAGCATTAGATATTGATGGCTAACCTCTGAGGAGAACAATGGTAAGGACGGTAGGAAGAACACAAAAAAGAGTGACCTTGCTGTGGACATCTGGTTACCTGCACATAGACAACACTTAATTAAACACAATAATAAATATTAACGTTTCCAGCTTTCCCACTAACACTTTTATTTTGCCTTCGACCTCAAACTTTTTCGTAAATAAATAAGAAATGTAAATTCGTCATCATTTACGTTCATTTACAATACGACATTTGGGTAAGACTGACTTTTTTTTTACAAAGGTGATCCAGGAAAATATAATTCTATACCGTAATATTATTTATGAATATTCGGTATTACACTTTATGGATAATGGTTTAAGCTTTGACTCTTTTAAGGGCGATATATCAAGGTTACGGGGTCATATATCAGGGTCAAGGGGTCATATATCAGGGTCAAGGGGTCATATATCAGGGTCAAGGGGTCATATATCAGGGTCACAGGGTCATATATCAAGGTCACGGCTCAGTCTTTATGTTCTTTATATAGTAACGACTCTAAAGTTCACAGTGGCCATATAACTCGGAATTGTTATATTTACTTAATTTAGATAATGTGTTTATTTTAGAGGTGATGAAGCCATGGTTAGTGGTTAGGTTAGGTTTATGTTGAACTGGTGCGACCCTCTATATGCGTGGCGGCGTTTTAGTGTATGACGTCATTTTCGTATACGCAAGTGCTGAGACACCTTTGTTGTTATGGCGCTGGGATACATTATATCATCAACATTATGGAGCAACACACGCTAGAGGTGCGTCTTGTGTGGTAGTGAGTTTCTGTCCGCTGTTTCCTGGTAAGCCTTGTAAAATGTCTAACTTTACCTACTTTACATTTATGGCTGTATGTCAGACCTCAGGTGACCTACTGGAGGAAGTACTGGTAAGGGTCCGTGCACCTAACCGCTGTCTTATAATAATACACGTGTTAGTTTAAACTGTTAATAAATACAGAAAATGATGGACTCACCAACATCTTCAAGAGACGTGAGGTAACACAACCCCCAGCCAACCGGAGAAGTCCGTTGCCCCGGCCGAGGCATCACCAACCAATCGGCACACGCTCACATACTCCTACTACGAGCAATAACCGACCAGTTATTTCCATTCCCTCAAGAATCGGTGCACCATGGTCGCTTATGTGCCAGAAACGAGGTTAGCGTCACCGTCCGCGCCTCCAGTAGTACATGTTTGAGTCGTCTGCTCATGAACGTACATGTAGTGTGGTAATCTAGTTGATATTCTTACGTGATAAATATCTATACTTTATTTGCCACTAGAATTATCATAAACTGTAAGGCAGACAGGCCACAGGAACAGTAGCACAGCACATCCTCCTCTCACAGCGTCTGAACCGCGACTGGTCCTGCCTGGCACCATCACGTTCCCAAAGTAAACATGTTCGCTTTGTTTTTATTACCTTCCATGTTTTCCCGTTTGTTGTACAGTTGTTTCAATGTGTATTTTAAATTTTACTTCTTGGTTTTCTTTTTTCTTCTTTGTTTTATCGATATTTTTTCTTCCATTGTCTCCCTCTTATTTTTATCCCCCTTTCCAAAAATATTCTCGGGAGTCATTTTGCCATGGATCCGTCTGTCTGTACCCAAATGACATACACTACTGTAGACAGACAATACTGAGACTAATTCTTCGGCTGTCTGTCATTCTTTAATCACTCTCTCGTGGGGGTCGATCGGTAAATCATCAAGAATAGTTTCTCATAATTCAATCTTGTATATTCTTAAGTAAATTTTTAATTAACGTACAATAAGAACTGTTCATTTCACCCGACGATTAAATACACTAAAGCTAACCTAACATACCTTAGCTTAACCTATCCTAGCATATCCTAAAGATAATCTAATATAACCTATATACTAACCTAACCTAAGAATAATCCCGGGGATTAGGAACCTTGAGTACAGAGACAGGTTAAAACATCTTAATTAGCACTCCCTCGAGAGACGTAGAGTGAGGGGCAATATGATAGAGGTGTATAAATGGAAGTCAGAGCTAAACAAAGGTACTCACGTTATTCAACCAGGAGCGAACTCATAGTAATGGTTTTAAATTAGACAAATTTAGATTTAGACGCTAGATAGGTAAACATTGGTTTGGAAATAGAGTAGTGGACGAGTGGAGCAAGTTACCGAACTTATTAGCTCGAACACGCTGGGTAGCTTCAAATATGGGTTGGATGGATTTATGAGCGATAGGGGTTGGGTGTAAATGGGACTGCCCAGTATGGACTAATAGGCCCGCTGCAGTTTCTCTATTCTTATTTTCTTATACCCTAACCTTACCCTTGCAGGGAGAGAATTAGTGGGTTTAATATTCGGGTGAAATAAACTGTGGTGTCTAATCTGCAGGTGATCATTTAACCTCACCTTTAACAACCCCTCCAGACCCCTCCTTTCCTCAATATGTATGTCAAGGTTAATCAACGCTCCATCATACGTAAATATTTTATTTAGATTCTCAGATAAATCTTATAAATTGTAACAGAATTTACAGGATATATTAAACAGGTGGCGGTAAAGAACGGCATCCTGGATCTCATTATAAAGTAGTCATTTGGTAACATAGAATACGTGTTTAAAGACTCAAGTTGTTGTAGTGTAGTAATACATTATAACACAACCTGTAATTAATGGTCAGTGTCAGTTTTGTTTACGTTCTCGTCATGGCCCACACTACATTATACATCAGTCTAGTCCTGCTGTACAGTATCTCAGTGTTGGGAGTATCAGTATAGTATCAGGAATGGTTGACTAATATACCCGATGAGAATTAATCGCCTGAGACAGTATCATAGAGCGATACTGTCATTGCTCTTTAGGTTATGTGGACAACTATGTGAGAATTTGAAAAACAAAAAAAATTATTCCTTGAGTGTTCGTATGTTCAGGTTGTGTTATCATGAGATCCTGTATTTGTCCTGCATGCATTAAAATAGATGTAAAAAAATATACAATTACAAGTGACTCACATTAAATATTTTATGGTACAATAACAACACCGTAATATACATGTATGATAAACATGGAGTGAGGAGAAGCGTGACAAGTTTTAAAAGAGTTGATGTCTAATGTAGAAACTTAAGACCTAGTGGACGGTACATAAAGACCCTGGCCGTTAAAGGGTAGTGAACTAAGACTTAATGAGAGTGGGTCCCATAAGCATGACTGGCCATTAGGCACTGCACTCAACCGCCTTCACTTCCCCAACTGTAAAGCGAGATACCTAATTAAGTGGAAATGCCCCGGGGGTCGAACCAGCAACCTCTGGGACAATAAACGAGTCATGTATCCCCAAGGCGGTACTTAAAAGACCCTGATATAGTTGAAGTATCTGAGGGCCATCACACAATAGGCTGATAGATGGGAGAACTGTTGTGGACGGGATATAATAAGGACCTATAATTCAGTCCATTATAGTAAGCGGTGTAGATAGTCTCTGTTAGGTTGATTATAGAGCCTGGAGGTAGATAGAGCTAACTGAGAGATTGATAGAGTTTATATATAAAGAAAACATATAAGAGTGTACAGTTAAATCCTCTTAAAAAATTAATAGATTCTATTTATAATACTGCTTGGCGTATATAAACACTTGAGGTGGTTAGGTGAGGTTGCCAATGGTGGACGTCGTGGTGTATAATATAAACAAAATAGTGTTACAGTACAGTGTTGAGTCTCCATCACTATACACAACATCATGTAATTGGGGGTCAGGTTAAAAAAAAACTCGGATCACATGAGGATTAAACAGCCTTAGATTATTTCACCTTATAATCACTCCTCTCTCTCATCTAGGTAGTGTAGAGGTGTTTAATTATCAGGTGAGGTAAGGTTAGGGAGGTTAATGTATTCAGGTGTTCCATTTAATCTTACCAGACACATACGAGTAATATACAAATTAAATGTCAGAAGGTCTTTATGGAGGATAATACTTGGTTTGCTTTCATAACCTAACCTAACCTAACCCAACCCTGATGGCCAAAACATAACATACAGGTAAATACTGAAATGTCAATCAGAATAAACATACCTACGTTAATTATACACTTACCTCTATGTATAATCTCGGTACAGTAAATGTTATATAATTTTCTCAGTATAATGTATATCAAGGCTATTTAGTTAAGATTTTTTATCCCCGGAAGTGGCAGCCTCGGAACGTGTGTGAAAAAAACAAAACATTACTCAAGTATGTTTGATTGAGGCAGGAACAAACCACACTTAAGTACTGCTAAATATCTTTCAGTGGTTTGTTTATATTAAGTAGTAATAATTCTGTGACCTGTTTTGCCAATTTGTTGAAGCACAGAAGACATAAGGTTATCATGGTTTTATTGTTGTTTCATAAAGTATATAGTGTCCAAGAAAAATGTCCCTCCCTCCATCCCCTGCTCCCTGTTTGCTCCCTGCCTCCCTCCCTTCCTGCTCCCTGAGACACTATGAGTTGGAACATAAGAATGGAGGAAACCGCAGCGGGCTATACTGGGCAGGGCGGGAGGGAGGCAGGGAGCAAGCAGTGAGGGAGGAGGCAGGGACATTTTTCCGGGACACCTATAAATCTGAAGTAATGGGAACAATAAATCTGAACCGTGATGTTCTGTACTACTTCACTGTAAGGTTTTCTCGCCCACTGTCACAACAACAAACACGCGTGGAGCATGTAATTAAAAAGTTATTCACAGGTGTACACGTTGACGCCAGGTAAAACCTTCTGAATGTAATTTGTATATTTCTCTTCAGTTATTGATGATATGTTTTACTGACCCAATTATGTTGTGTTCTTTAGTTTTACCGCAGTGTAGTGCAGTGTAGTATACAATACATTTATTTATAATACTGATGGGGATATTGATACAGAGGTAAGGAGGTTGTGCTGGGTTAGAGTGGTGACCATTGAACATAGTAGTTATGTATAATACAGACGAGGCAGAAGAGGAGGGCGGTGTGGGCGGGGGCTGGCGTGGTGGCCCCACTGGGAGGTTTGTTGCCTCCTACAGGTTGTGAGGCTAACTCCCGGTAGTAGTTGTTGTAGTACCAGTCGATGGCGTTCACCTCACTCATCTCGAATTCTGTCTCCTGGATGGGCTGCTCGTGAGAGAATTCTGCCACGACGTTCTCACTAGCCGGGGGGAGGTCGACCCCCTGTACCGCCACGCTGTGTTTGTCCGGCTCCTGCCCCGGCTGGTACACCCGCTCGATGGTCGGGAACCCGCCCCTCCCGATGCTCTTGCTGGGGCTGATGTAGGTGTTGTTGGGGGGTACACGAGGCACAGCACCCGATAGTGGCTCACCTGATTTGTCCACAGGTAACACCACGCCAGGCCGGGACCGGGAGGGTGGCCGCTCCTGCATGGGGTGCCTGGAGAAGAACAAATCATCGTCTTGGGAGTCCTCAGGGTGTGGCTGGGCGTGGCTTGGTGGCCCGTTCTCCACAAGTTTCATGTTACTTGAAGAGCTTTCGGGAGACTCAGCAGACGGAGACGAGACTGGAGTGTTGGGGTCGTGGGGTGGGATGTCCTTCAGCACCGTGACGCCCTCACCCAACTGTGGCGGGAAGATGGCAGCGGGCAGGTTATGTCTGTTAGATTCACTGTGAGTGCTGGTGGTGGTGGTGGTGGCAATGGTGGGCTGACTGGTAGGTCTGCTGGTGGTGGTGGTTGTAGTTGAGGAGGTGGTAGTTGTAGAGGTGGAAACTGTGGGGGTGGAAGTTGTGGGGGTAGTGGTAGTGGAGGTGGTAGTGGTGGTGGTGGAGGGAGCGGGTGGTAGGGTTCCCGGGATAGGTGAGATAACAGGTGTTTTAAGGGTGACCGTGGAGCTGGGGCTGTGTGAGGAGTCTGACAGGTGTGTGTCGTGCTGTGTGTCGGGTACTGCCGGGGATTGATCATCACCATCCTTGATGTTTTTACTGTTTTCTAGCTGAACTTCCTCCTCAGCAGCGTACAGTAGACCTAGCAGGTCGCTCAAGGAGTGTGTGGGCTCGTCTGGCTCTTGCTGGGAGTGTTGTGGGACTGTGTCGGGCGGTGGTGGCTGTGTGTGTGTGGGCGTCACAAGATGAGTGTCTGGTGAGATGGTGTTGGTGTGTGGTGTTGGTGATGGTACCAGCTGCAAGGTGGAGGTTGTCTGCAGCACTGGGGTGGTAGTTGGTGTAGACTCTGCTGGTAGAGAATGTGTTGGTCGGGACTGTAAGATAGTAGGCAAGTCAGGAGAAGGATCAACGTGGTGATGGTCGTGCAGGTGGGGCCTCGGGTCACCTAACTGTGTACTGAGGATTGGGGGCTGGTTGATCCCTGAGCTTGGCACGAATGATGACAGTGATCCCGGCAGGTGTGACCCCGTCGCGGTCTGGTCAGGAGGAGACGAGACCATCGGACGACTGACTGTGTTCACCGCCCCGCTTGGAGAGTTACTGCCACCTAATAACTGACTCTCTGAGGGCGACATGTCTGCTAGTACGGGCGTAGTGTGGGTTGGGGCGCGTGGGGCCTCGTTTAACGAGAAGGAAGTTTCGTGATTGGCGACAGATATCTGTGGAGGCTCGACGACGGTGATGGGATGGTTGGGGTTGTGGGGCTGGTATGGGAGGAAGGGTTCATGTGGCTGATAGTGCGACACGCCGGAATCAGGATGGATGACGGCGGGTGGTGACCACTTGGCCTGCGTCACGTGGGACCTCTGGCCCGATTGAGGTACCGGGGCACTTGCTGGACCCCCGCTCAGGATGTCGGAGGCGTGAGGGTGCGTTAGAAATTCTTCAGAGTCTGGAGGCGAGAAGTCGGAGGCTCCTGAGGGCAGGCGGCTAATGATAATGGGATGGCCATGTTCATCTTGTTGCTGCTGATTGGCCTGGAAACCAGGAAGAAACGGAGTGCCGGAGCTGGGTCCTGGCCCGGCGTGCAGCACAGAGGGCAGCACGGGCCTGGCTATGGGGTGGTGGGGGTTCTGTGCTAGCGGGGGCCTCTCAATCCAGACGTTCGTTGGGCGGCTCACAGGGACCACAAAGCCAGGAACCCCTGGCTGAAGTCGCTCTCCTTGACCAGCAGGGAACACGAAGGGGACCTCGGGGCCTCTAAATGGTACCTGAGGCGTGACTGTTACCCGTGGAGCACCTTCCCAAACAACCTCCTGCTCTGGGTGGTGATGAGGGTGTGGAGCAGAGTTAGGCTCTCTGCTTGGGGTAACGTGGGGCGGCGTGAGAGCCATAGACTCCCGGACTGGGGGATGCGGGTGGGGGAAGAGAGGGTGTGGGCTAGCGGGTCCCGGACCCTCAATCCAGATTGGTTGGTTTTGGTCAGGGCCCTTCATAGGCTTGTCCTCGTCCGCCTGGCCGAACTTATGCACAGACCCTGACTCATGGCGGCCGAAGCCGGGCAGGTTACCCCAGTTGACATTGAGGCCGATATTGGGGATGTTGAAGTTGCTGATGGTGTCAAGAAGGTTGGGGAGGGTGGGGAACTTAATGTTGCCGAAGAGGCTGCTCTCAGTGGTCGTCGGCCCCTGTTTGTTGATGTTGTTTGACGACCCCGCGTAGATGGTGGGAGTGTTCCCCGGCACTATGTGGATGTTTGACGATGATACCGCTTGTTGCTCCGTCTGTAAGACACCAAACATGTTTTATTTTTACGAGAACACACACACACACACACACACACACACACACACACACTTGGACTCAGGTAATCTACCTTCGGCAAGACTGTGGTCAGCGAGACAACGGAGGAGCTCTGGACAATAGCGGAGGTGGCGGGGGGCGCTGTCTGGGGCTCCGAGGTGGTGGTGCCCTCCGTCGTGCTGGTACTGGAGGCGGCGACCAAGGCGGGCGGCAGCTCGTGCACTAGGATGGGGTTGTTGTAGTCCAGGTAGGAGGGTCCCGTGTTGCCTGTTGGGGGGATCGTCTCTGATAGGTTGGCCAGGTTGAGCAGCGTGTTCACTGATCCAGGATTTAGGGCATCACCTACGGTATACAGGGATATTGTACTGGGTATAGATCGTGTGTGTGTGTGTGTGTGTGTGTGTGTGTGTGTGTGTGTGTGTGTAAGGATGTTTATAAGTACAGGTAGAAAGTTAGAAATGTTGCCAGATTAATTCTTATCACGATGTGTGGTGGGCGTCGTCATGACTAGCGTGCAACTAAATGAGAGAGCTGACCTTATAGTTATTACTGGTGGAGGGCTGCTCTACTGACCTGTCTGGCCTGCGGTGAAGAGTAGGGGGTCCAGGAACCTGGGCACACACACCTCCTCCACTTCTTCAAGAGTGCGCCGCCCCTCGCATAGAAAGGCTTGAGCTGGCACCTGTTGGTGGAGGGGCAGCACCAGCAGTAGTATCAACGGCAGTAACAACATTAGTACCAGCAGCAGTAGCAGAACAGTAGTCCAACGTTGATGGAGAACAACAGCATTTTCACAGAATGGAAGGAAGTAGAAGACAAATATTACAATGTATGAAAATAATTTGAGTTTTCTCACATCATCAGCATATTAATCATTCCTCACAGTCATCAGGGTGGTGGCGTGACTTTAAACTCAGAGAGACGTACTCTTGATGTTAGAGTGCCAACGAGGGAGTTCGCGGCGTCATACCTGAGTGATAGGGAGGCCCTGATACTGTGGGGGCGCGGCGCAGACTGGCACACCCCTGAGAGAGTCCCCGAGGATGTCGGTGCGGGGGCCACGTCCATCGTCAGGGTCCTCCGTCAGGTAGTCTCTCAGCCACACCAGCTCACAGTCACACTGGAACGGGTTACCTGCAACACCCGGGAGTTGAGTTAACATTTGCCACCTTGAAACGTGACCCTTGGCCCCTCCTGACCCCTGACTCCTGAACCATCCTGACCCCTGACCCACCTTGATCCCTGACCCAACATGATCCTTGACCCTATTACCCACCATAGGTCCTCGTGTCTTCTCATCTATCATGATCTCCTAAATACCTGTGACCCAACATGATCTCTAACCCGTGATGACCCTTGACTGACCACTCATGTCGAGGAGGGAGAGCCCCATGATGGTGTTGCCCAGGGCGTGGAGGTGGAGGCGCCTCAGCTGGTTGTTTTGGAGTGTGAGGACACGGAGGCCGCGCTGCATCGTGAACCCTCCAGATGACAGGCGACACAGGTCATTGTCGTGGAGCTGAGGGAACACCAACAAGATTACCTCTCTCATAATTACCGGTGACAGAAGGTATATAAATGACAGGTAGTGGTGGTGTAGGGTGACAGTAGTACACATACATGGCCATAAAGAATAATAATAATGGTTAGTGTTGACGGAGACTGGAGAATGGGATGGTGGTGTTAATGAAGACAGGGGCAGGAGGTGCAACAATAACAGTAACACGAATGAAGGCATAATTGACAATGGAAAATAACACAAACACCTGGTGAAAGGAAGGAGGTGATGTAAGAAGTGTGATAGATAAGTATGTAAAAATTCTTGAGAGATGCTATAAAATTTCAGTTGTATCAGGTAAATAATTTCTGATGATAGGACCAGTATATCATAACTGTATTGTCAGCGGGAAGAATTAGCATGTAAAGGTTGTTGGTAGTGCAGACGCATGTTGTTCAAGAGTACACAGAACTTACCATTAGAACTGTTAACCATTCCAGTCGTCTAAAACTGGAGTCCTTGACTTCGAGTAAGTAGTTCCAGCTAAGGTCCAGGACATCGAGGGTTGGCAGCCTCTGCAGGGCATCTTCTGGAATGTCTTGGAAGCCGTTACGACTAAGGTTGAGGAACTTCATGGCTGGCATGTTCTGGAAGGCATGAGCCCCCATCTCCGTGATTACGTTATCTTGTAACTCTAAGCTTCTGAGGGACGTTAGGTCTGTGAAGGCAAAGTCCTTAATGATGGATATCTGGTTCTTGCTCAGCTGAAGTTCCTCTAATGACGTCAGAGACTTGAAGGAATCGGGATTGAGTTCAACCAGGTTGTTGTTCCGTAGGTCAAGAGTAATAAGAGACCTGAGGTTATGGAATGTTCCTGGCTCAAAGGTCTGGAGGCCATTGTTGTCAAACCTAAGAATGTCTAGATTTGGGAGGTCTCTAAAGGAGTTGTTTTTTAGGATGCTGATGTAGTTATCACTTATGAAGAGACCCTGTAGAGACGAGAGGCCCATGACTGCGTCCCCGAGCTCCGTCAGGGAGTTGTTGGTCAGGTCGAGGATCCTGAGGCGCTTCACACTTGTGAGTGTGTTGTGGCCGAGATCTGTTATGTAGTTGTGACTGATGTTGAGCTTCTCCAACATCTTCATGGAATCGAACATGTCTGGGTGGAGGTTTTGGACGTAGTTGACACTAAGATCAAGATCTCTTAAAACAACCATGTCTCGGAATGCAGTTTGACTCAAAACCTGAATATGGTTGTTGGAGAGGTCAAGGTGCTCCACCATACGTAGGCCTTTGAGGTAACCATCGAGGACTTGGTTGATGGCGTTTCGATGAAGCTTGAGAACTTTGAGGGAGGGCAGCTTACCCAGCGCTTCTGCGGGCAGGTCCTGCACCAGGTTTGCTGACAAATCCAAGTAGAGCAACTTGGAGGTATCTTGGAAGGTGTTTGCATTGATAGACACAATCTGGTTATGGGTAAGATGCAGGAATTCAAGAGAAATGAGACCCAGGAATAGTCCATCCTCCAGAGTCAGTAGTTCGTTGAAGCTCAGTTCCAGCTCGAACAATTCAGTAAGTCCTGCGAAAATATTTCTGTGTAATTTTGCGATACTGTTGAAGGACATGTTGAGGTTCTTCATGAAGGTGGAGCCGACAAACGTGTTTTCTGCCACATCTGTGATGACATTGAAGCTGAGGTCTAAACTGCTTAGCTTCGGCAGCCCCTCCAGCAGGAGAACGTCCACCCTCTTCATGTCGTTGTGTGACAAGTCCAGGACTCTCAAATTGGGCAGATCCCACACTTGTCCATCAAAGTCACTCTGAATGAAGTTATTACTCAGATGCAGCTCCCTTAAGTTGGGCATTTGCTGGAACAATCCTTTTGGCACTTTCTCTATCTCGTTGTGGTCCACTTTCAGAGCTTCTAACTTGCCATGTCCTTCGAAAATTCTTGGATTGTTAATTTTCAGACGATTTTTACTTACATCAAGACTTAAAAGGTTTGGAAGAACTCGAGCGATGTATCTCATTTCGGCCAAGAATGTTAAATTATTTCTGGCAACGGTCAAGTGTTCCATACTGAGTGACTCCGAGAAGACATCAGCGTGAAATTCGTCGAGGAAATTCCCGCTGAGATCTATATTACGGAGGCGCGGGAGCCTAAAGAAGGCGCCGTTTTGTATCTTGGTGATCACATTTTCCTTGAGATTTATCACTTCCACTGTTGGCATATCAACGAATGTCCCCTTCGAGAGCTGAGTGATGAGGTTGTTACTGAGGTCCAGGATTTTGAGTTCTCTCAGTTCCCTGGCGGCCAACACAGCCATGGTGGCGTCAGAGAGCCGGTTGTTACCAAGTGAGAGATGCTCCACAGTGTTGAGTGTCATGAAGGCTCGAGGATGAATCCAGGTAATGGCGTTATTTGAAAAATTTACCTCCTTTAGATATACAAGTCCCTCCAGGGCATTACTCTCAATACCAGTCAGCTGGCTGTTGGCGATGTGGACTTTCTTCATGTTGGGCATAAACCTGAAGGCGGCTGAAGGGATGGTCGCCACTCTAGAACCATCGATCTTCAAGAATTCCAGCTTAGAGAGAGAATAGAGTCGAGGGATCTCTGAGATCTCTGTGTTCTCAATCACACAGGTCCTCAGGTTGGCCAGGTTATCGAGGGTGTCGAAAGGGACGTCGTGGAGGCCAGGTTCTGAGATAAAGAGATGCTGTAGTGAAGACTCGAGTCCCGCGAAGGCGTTACGGGTGATGCCAACCATCTCATTACTGACGAGGAAGAGTTTGTTGATCTGGAAGAGAAGAGAGATGAAGGTCCTGCAAGTGGAGTATTTGTAGCTGTACGTGGACTACTTAGGCTCACTGTTACAATGGCTGTACAGAGTATTCACATTTAAAACTTTATACAGATTTGTAAGTGCAGCTTTAGGTGGGCAGTAATTTCCATAAGAAGTTACTGCTATTGAAGATGGTGGACGCCTTCATTGAGGTATGGTAGAAATGCAACTAAAATCTGCTAATGCTCGAACAATCATAGACATAGGCTCTATGTGACAATAAGAACACGTAAGTGGCTCCAGAGGTTTTACAAATAACTGCAAGGAATTTATAGACAACAGTTTACCTGCACCAGAGGACGAAATAGCTACAAAAATGAATACAGTACAATATTCAGCTGTGCAAGTGTCCAGAAATGATCGAACTGCACAATGCTATGTAATTTCACGCTTGTTATGACGAAAGAATTGCAAATATTTGTATGCAGTTTCACATCTGCTTCACACTGGAGTAGTATCCCGTTACAAAATACACTGCCATACCGGAAGTTCCTCGGCCCTGCACCTCGTAACCCACAAGTAACTGTTTACCTGTATGGAGCCAAAGATCCTGCCAGGCAACACAGGGATACGGTTGCCCACCAGATGAAGTTCCTCCACCCTCAGGATCCGTCTCATCAGGGCCTCCATGGTTGACACCACCGCCTCCTCTTCGCTGTTCTCACACCTGAGGGTGGTGAGGAAGAGGATGAATTAGCAGATAGTGAATGGGTTAAATAGTGACGATGGATGAATAGGCAGATGGTGAGGATGATGATGATGATGGTGATGATGATGGACAGTAAGGGAGATGGCTTTTATTAATACACATGATCGAGAAAACACACAAACACTTGCCTGATATATATTTTTACCTCAGCATCCCTCCCTAAGACTTACATAATGTGTATCTCGTTGTCAAGTAGGCGACATAAACAAGGCAACAACTCGGCCTTCGGTGGACAGGTTACTATCGGGTGCCTGTGTCCAATCCTTCTGCCGGAGGGGTGTGCAGTGGCGCATCTCGTTAACGTCGCCAGCAGCAGCAATAGTGGTAATAGATGGAACATGAAGCTCGCGGGGCCTTCTGTCGACCGCCACCGCCTCGTCAACACTAAAGCCATCACCATCAACACCTGCTCTGGCTCTCCCGCCCAACCTGTTGAGGGAGAGAGAGAGGGGGTTAGGTTAGGTTAGGTTAGGTTTAGTTTGGTTATGTTAGGTTATACTAGGTTAGGTTAGTTATTACGTTTGATATTTGTAGTATTTTAAAGGGAATTAGTACATTTAATGGTGGTATATTATATTTAAGGGAATTAGTACCGTAGATTTAAAAGTGTTCCGTCATCAGTGTGTCGCGTTCATCTCGGCATCAAGCGGTTACATTTCCCCGTCCGTGTTCTGTTTGACTTGTTGCTAGCAAGTTGCACATGGTTGCATAATCTAATGGTGCATTGTGCAGTTTGTTTGGTGTACGGTGATGATAGTGGTGGTGGTGAAGATGGTTGGTGGTGGTGAATATGATGGTGGTGATGATTATGGTTGGTGGTGGTGGTGAAGATGATAGTGGTGATGGTGGTAATGGTGATGCTGGCTGTTGGTGGTGGTGAGAAGGATGGTAGTGGTTATGATGGAGATGGTGGTGATGAAGATGGTTCGTGGTGGAGAAGATGATTATGGTGGTGGTGATGAAGATGGTGGTAATGATGATGAGGATGGTAATGATGATGAGGATGATGATGATAATGATGATGATGATGAAAATGTTGTAAACAAGTAGGTTCCCTCGACAGGATCAGGTGCTAGCTAATTGCATACATCACTCTTATCTGTGTAATGATCAAATTCCTTCCGGACAATTTACCCACTGGACACAACCTCACCACAAAAACACGGAGGTGGACTAAACCCCGCCAGCTCAAATACACCAAGTCCAAATACAGTAAACTTCTATTAATCCGGACTTCACTAAACTGGAGTCTGGAAAAATCGGACCCCATCTGACCGTGAAATAGAGAACCTTCCACTCAAGGCCCCAGTCCTAGTAGGTCCAAGCTTAACATAACTATGAGGACTGGGGCCCATTAATACAAGGGCCTATTTTACTATTCACTCCAGACACTGTTAATGCCAAACCAGCTCCCAGTATTGTATCGTAGATGAAAACACAGGTATACGTCAAGTACGCTGTTAACATATTACTGTGTGTTGAAAGCTTATCTTAGGTGTGTGTGTGTGTGTGTGTGTGTGCACCCGTTGATAATAACCAGGATGGTGTTGCACACACAGCTCTGCTTCATGGTCTGGGCTCTGGTCACTCGTCTCTGGGTGGCTTCATTTCGTCAGCCACCGGACATGTTAAACGGTGTGTTTACATGTGACGTCATTGTGTGGTGATCGGTTACTCTCCGTGCGAAGCGAAGCTGAGCCCAGGGGGAGTGTGATACGAGGGATCACGGTGGTAGACTGTGGATGTGAAAGTGGTGAGGTAACCCATGGTTGGTGTCAGTAGCGGTTCTTCCTATTCTGCTGACTTCCTGTACTACTCTCTCGACATTCTTAGCTGTCATCTAACACACTCAAATACACACACACACACACACACACACACACACACACACACACACACATATAGGCACACAAGCGCACGCTTGGTGGGTAAAGAAAAAAATAGCCGAGAAGTGTTAGTCAGAGCCAGAGTTAAGTTCAAAAGTCCGAACTCTGTCACACATGTAAATATAAACAAAGGCTTGTCTGTGTTCCCCTGAATCACGTGACCACAACAAAGCGTAACCCGTTTTCCCCATTAGCTCGTTCAGGTCACGTAGTTATATGTACTGACCTACATACAGTACGCGAGTAGTAATTATATCGCGGCTATGACAATAACATCTGGACTATAAGTGGCTGTCATCAGTATGAACTACAGATCCATTGTGTTGTGGTGTAGATCATGGTAGTTGACAGACACTTAGAATATACAAGAAACACTTACGGTACACTTGGTTGTTTTTTACGGATCACTTGAACAATAGTGCCTTCAGCTTATTTCACCCTAAGATTTACAACCCTTACGGTAACCTAACCTAACCCCCTCAGGTATCTTTAGGGTGTTGAAGCATCAGGTAGGGGACTAATGTTCAGTCGATCCGTTTTCTCATATGTGTGTTCCAGAGGAGAGTGGCAGGACAGTGTGACCATAATGGGCACTCAATCGGGCAGGTTAATGGCACTATACCTTATACCCTCAAGTGTGTGTGTGTGTGTGTGTGTGTGTGTGTGTGTGTGTGTGTGTGTGGAAGTTACTGACGAATGCAAAACTTAAACAGCAGGAAAATACAAGAAACTGTTCGTAAATCACATGACCAACCAATATTGATAACTTTAACCGGACACACACACACACACACACACACACACACACACACACACACACACACACACACACCACACACACACACACACACACACACACAGACAGACAGATGGACGGAAGAGATAATAATGATATGATAATAATAATAATAATAATAATAATAATAATAATAATAATAATAATAATATCAACTTAAAAACAAATAACAACAACACTAAAAGATCTACAATAAATACACAAACACAATCAAATTCACTCAACATTTCATCACTAACGACCTCCTTCCCTCCTTACCTACCCTTCACACTTCCCCCCTTTCCTTCCTCCTTCCCTCCTTCCCTCCCCCTACCACCCTTCCCCCCCTCCTTCCTTCCCTCCTTCCTCCCCTTACCTACCCTTCACACTTCCCCCCTCCTCCTTCCCTACCTACCTACCCTTTACACAGCCCCTCCCTCCCTCCCTCCTCCCTACACTTCACCTCCCTCCCTACCTACCCTTACACTCCCTCTCCCTCCTTCCCTACCTCCCTACCTACCCCTTCCCCTGCCCCTCCCCTCCCCTCCCTACCCTACCCTTTACACCCCTCCCTCCCTTCCCTACCTACCCTTTACACCCCTCCCTCCCTCCCCTACCTCCCCTTACACTGCCCCTCCCTTCCTTCCCTACCTACCCTTAACACTGCCTCCTCCCTCCCTACCCTTTACACTGCCTCCCCCTCCCTACCTACCTGCCCCTGCCCTCCTCCTCCCCTACCTACCCTTACACTGCCCCTCCCCTCCCCTACCTCCCTTCCTGCCCTACCTACCCTTAACACCTGCCCTCTCCTCCTCCTACCCTACCCCTCCCTCCTCCCTACCTACCCCCTACCCTCCCCTCCCCCTTCCTTCCCCTACCTACCCTTAACACTGCCCCTCCCTCCCTCCCTACCTACCCCTTACACCCCTCCCCCCTCCCTAGCCCTCCCTCCCTCCTTCCTTCCTACCTACCCTTTACTCCTCCCTCCTCCCTACCTACCCTTACCTGCCCCTCCCTACCCCCCTACCTACCCTTTACACTGCCCCCCCTCCCTCCTACCCCTTTACACTGCCCCTCCTCCTCCCTCCTACCTACCTGCCTCCCTACACTGCCCCCTCCCTCCCCTCCCTGCCCCCTCCCTCCTTCCCCTCCTACTCCCTCCTTCCTTCCCTACCTACTTAACACTGCGCCTCCTCCTACCTACCTGCCTCCTTACACTGCCCCTCCCTCCTTCCTTCCCTACCTACCTTCCCTGCCCTCCCTCCCTCCTACCTACACTGCCCTCCCTCCTTCCCTCCCTACCTACCCCCTTACACTGCCTCCTCCTACTACCCCTTAACACTGCCCTCCCCCTCCTGCCTCCCTCCCTCCCCCTACCACCTTTACCTGCCCCTCCCTCCTCCTACCTACCCACCTGCCCTCCACTCCTTCCCTCCCTACCTACCCCTTTACCCCCTCCCTCCTCCCTACCTACCCCTTACACTCCCTCCTTCCCTCCCTCCCCTACCTGCCCTTACCTACCCCTTTACACTGCCCCTCCCTCCTGCCACCCCTTACTGCCCTCCCTCCCTACCTACCCTTTACCTACCTCCTCCTCCTCCCTACCTACCCTTTACACTGCCTCCTCCCTCCTCCCCTACCACCTGCCCCTTCCTACCTGCGCGCCTCCCTCTCCCTCCTCACCTTACACTGCCCCCTCCTCCCCTACCTACCCTTTACCTGCCCCTCCCTCCCTCCCTACCTACCCTTACACTGCCCTCCCTCCCCCCTACCTACCCTTTACACTGCCCTCCTCCCTCCCTCCCTACCTACCCTTTACCTGCGCCTCCCTACCTACCCCTTACTGCCCCTCCCTCCTCCAACCTGTCCCTCCCCCTCCCTCCCTCGACCTACCCCTTCTCCCCTCCTCCCCTACTTGCCTCCACTCCCACTGCCCTCTACAATGCCCCTCCCTCCTCCCGTCCCTACCTACCCTTAACACTCCTCCCCCCTCCCTCCCCAGAGCACCGTTCAGCTTTCTACTCATTGTCACTTTATAACATTTCACTCTGGTAATTTGTCCATGGTCGGTCAGAGTGACAGGTGTGTGTGTGTATGTGTGTGTGTGTGTGTGTGTGTGTGTGTTTATTTGTGTGTGCTGTGTTTTGTTCCTTTGTATATATGTGTTTGTTTTTGTTTGTAAGTTTATATTTACGCTAAGGATTTTTTTACTACTAATTATAATAAATACTACTATTAAATAAATACTACTGCTACATAAATACTATTACTAGATAAATATTACTACTACCACTACTTAGATACTTCCACCACCTCTACTACTTTATTTTTTATTTTGTTTTTAGAATTTTAATATGGCCTCCATCTTCCCCCAATATATACCTTCGCCGCCATTTTATTACCTTAAAATTAACTATCCTAATACATAAGTAGCTACCTGGCTGTGTTGAGTTAGTTGAGCAGCGAATCTATGCGGCATTCAGTGACTGTTGCCTCATAGTCAATATTTGCAACTGTTGGGCTTTGGGACCGATGCTCTCGTTCCCCTGAGGCAAAGTAATGCAGACCTGAGCAGAGAGAAGGACAGTCCACTACTACAACTAAGTACCGGTGCTACAACTACTACTTAAGGTCACCCCCAAACTATAGAGATAAGAGAACACATCTACTTCGGTTAAGCCTTACAGGTATATAATCAATGTCACAGTGGCCGCGCTCTTTGTGGTGTAGTGAAAGTGTGTGTCTGTCAGTCAAGGGGCGTCCACACGTCTAGATTTAAGGGTGTAAACAAATATACCCTAGATAGACAATGTGGGGTCCAAAAATCCCCGCGTCGAACTTATATGAACATAAGTGTAAAAGGGAAAAAAAATTCAATATATTTTCATTTACTCAGCTATTTTTTTTTTCAGTCAGAAGTCTAGCTAAGACCTTTAAATGTTTGTATTTACCTTTAAACTTCATTAAATGTAACTTCCTGATTTCGGGTGTTTTTTCCCCTGTGGGGGTCTGCGGGACCCCCTATTACCTTAGGTTGAGAACATTTATACCATTACCTGTCTTGGGTTTTAATGTTATGAGTGACTGGTCGGATTCGTCCTGTACTTGGATATCTGTATCACCTGAGATTAGACACTCCCAGATTATTTCAATTGATGTTTAAACACCTTAGAGCTAACCTGACCTAATCTAACCTAACCTAAAATAACACTTAACCAACCTAAAATAACATCTAACCTAACCTAACCTAGCTAACCTAACATAAAATAACCTAACCTAACCTTAGAGTGTTTCATCATCAGGTAAAATAAACACGAGGTATATATATATATATATATATATATATATATATATATATATATATATATATATATATATATATATATATATATATATATATATATATATATATAATCTTCAGGTGATCGGATTATCTTAAACCCGGATTATATATTTAATTAAAATATTACAGTTGGGTGCCATGGTGTGTGTGTGTGTGTGTGTGTGTGTGTGTGTTTATCTTATCTCCCGCTTCCGTGTGCCTCAGATGGATTAAGGGATAAAAACGGCTTAAAGAATAGAGGAGGAAGTACAAGGCAGAGTGACAGGTGAGACAAGGTAGAGTGTGACAGTTTTTCCATTATGTCTAAGCTAAAAAAAAAGTATTGAATTTTGTGTTAAGTATTGTAGTTTTTTTCTTCAATTAGACATTCAAAACTATACTTGAAATCTCGCTGAGTTACAAAGTTTAGAAAGAATGTCTTAACTAAAGCTACCAAGGGGAGAGTATGTATATTTTGAAAGTATTGAAGGTGCTGCGTGACTTATAATGTGAGGAGTGAATGTGTCGAGGAATGACTGACTAACTAAAGACTTTCTGTAGACGACGCGGCTGCTGGTTGGTGATGGTAGTGACTCTTCTCCACGCACCTCCTTCTCTTAACTCATACTGTAAGATTCTCCGTCACACACACACACACACACACACACACACACACACACACACACACACACACACACCTCCAATCAAGGGGAGGGGAGGGGGGCATCCTCTCTCTGACGTCACTGAGGAACACCCTTTTACAATGAAGTCACTAAGCGGATCCCTCTTTCTGTGACATGGAGAGGAAACCCCCACCTTCCTTCTGCGACGTCACCGAGCGAAACATCCTTTCTCTATGAAGTCACTATGGTTTGGTTAGGTTAGATTAGGTCAGTTTTTAAGTTTGGTTAGTAGTTGTGTTATTAAACTATATAAATTCGTATGTTATTCCCCTATACAGTATTACCTTCCGTACACACAGACCAGCTGGAGTACTTCTTGACATGAAATAAGAAATATTTTAAATTTTATCTCCTAGAGGTCGTTGACGTGGTCTTATTTCCCAGAGATTATGACGTAAATTTCCTCTCATTTAGTTGTGAGTCAGATAATATTTGTTGTTTTTGTTGTTTGTTAGCTGATTTGGTTGTTGTTGTTGTGAGTCAGCTGATTTTTGTTATTGTCTCACTATCATGTATCAACCTGTTTCCCTTTTTTTTGTGATGGGCTGTTTTCTGTAGTTGTTGTAAATCAGCTGTTTTATTCTCTGTTTTTTTAATCTTTTTATTGTGGTGATGTGTTTGGTTTAGTGACCAATTTCTCAATTTTTTGCGTGTTACTGTTTTCTCGAAATGCGAAAAAGTACCATTGGACTGTATCGGGGTTATCTCCAATAAGGTTACATTATTTACCTACGTATCTTATAATGTGTTCAAGTTTCTTCAATGTATGAGCATTTTCGATATTCTGGGAGGATATATATACTGTATACCGTAGAGCTTAAATGCATTGATCGTGATTGGTTGTAGTATAATAATGTATCTTGATCGTGAGTTGTAATTGTCTGCTGTTGTCATTCATAAACACCTGCGCTTGTACTGTACATTTCATTTGTGTTGTTTTGTCTGAAGTAACCATCTGAAATGTGTAGTGCAAAGTCCCTCGAGTTGTATGGGCAGGACACAGTGGTCCATGAAGCGAGACGTGTTTCGTCATTTCTCCTCCATGGACAGTATCTGGGTGAGGGGAAAGTCACCCGTTGTCCCGCTCAATGAACCACAACACGGCGATAAGACAAGATGTGGGGTACCCGGCCTTGACGTCACCCGCACGCACGGAGACCCTCAGAAGTGACGTCAGCAAGTGAGAGGCTGCGGCCCGCCCTTCCCTCTGTAACGGTACGGGTAAGGTGTAGAACTAGGCGTTTCTCTCACCTAATTGGTCGTTAAATGGGGAAACATTTAGAGATAGACTGTGGGTTTAGTCTTTCCTACACACCGCTTTGTTGTTTTCTCCAGCTCTTGATTTTGGTTTATTGTTGAATTGATGACAGATGGGGTCGAAAGTTCAATTACGCGTGCAAGTCACTCTTAGTGTAGGTAGAGGTGAGTGACGTGTACATTACCATCACGCTCCTAGATGGCGCTCACGTTCACACACGAGGTACAGTACAAGACGAGAGTGAAGGTTCCTTATATAACTCAAGCTTCGAGTGGTGGACTAATTCCTCACCAGAATCTGTCAAAATCTGTATCTGACTTTTTACGTTATATTCATTACAGTAGTTATTTCTTCCGTATGACTGGATATAATATATTAAATTTAGCTGCGGTAGAGTCTCTGAGCAGTTTGAATACCATTATCGACGCCATCTTTATTATTGAGGCAAGGAGAAAAAATAAGTTTCCGTAACCTTTAAAATTTGGACTGAAATATTGTAGAAAAAATCAATCGGGTTAAGATATAATGACAGACCATTACAAAGCTGCTACAGTGACGATAATGTCTGGAAATGTATCAAACAACAGAAGATCCGCGAGGTGTAGTAAAAGTCGTTTGGCACAATGATGGTGTTGACGACGACTCTGCTGATCCTCTGTGAGCGTGTTACTGAATGCTCATCATCTTCATTCTTTGCCAAGTCATTATTAACAGATCGCGTGGCGGGTCACACTATGGCAGGCACGGAGCATGTTCAGGTTGTTGAATGTATCTAATGATGTTCCAATGTTGGTTAAAAGAGCTTGGTATTGATGTCATCTCATTAACTGGTAGATTATTCCATAAATTCATTGTGTTAAGTAATACATATGTCAGTTTATCTTGTTGACTTAGCGGCCAACACAATTTGTAGTGGGGTTCATAAGTAAACAAACCGTGTTAAGGGTCCGTCATAGCTTGTCAGAGTTATATTAAACATATCGCTCTATTGACTTTTATTATATAGCATTTGACGTCTTGAAGATAGTGGTCGGTGTTTCTGTTTACCTTCGTGTTTCTGTTTACCTTCGTGTTTCTGGTTACCTTCGTGTTCCTGTTTACCTTCGTGTTCCTGTTTACCTTCGTGTTTCTGTTTACCTTCGTGTTTCTGTTTACCTTCGTGTTCCTGTTTACCTTCGTGTTTCTGTTTACCTTCGTGTTTCTGTTTACCTTCGTGTTTCTGTTTACCTTCGTGTTTCTGTTTACCTTCGTGTTTCTGTTTACCTTCGTGTTTCTGTTTACCTTCGTGTTTCTGTTTACCTTCGTGTTTGTTTACCTTCGTGTTTCTGGGTCGAAGATTTTTGTGTAGTATTTACCGTCTTTAATGATAATGGTCTGGGTTTATGGGTCAAAACTTTAACCTAACTTTAGGATATTAAAAAAAAAAATGTGTTAATGTTATCTATGTTGTAGGCTGGGTGATGGTGTATGTGTGGTGGTGACATTCTCGCCTCACTGTGTCACCGGGAACTACCTGTAACATGACATAGCCCCTCCCTCCCCCTCCCCCTACCTCCCCCCCCTCGTAATCTAAACTAGAATTATTTGTTGAATGTCATGATTTCCGGTAGTAACTGATCCCGGAACCTAATACCTGTACATCTACGTAACCTACTTTAGTTTAAGTTAGTTTACTGTTATCTAACTAAATTTAACCTAACGTGCCTTACCCATTACGTTAACTGAACCTAACCTACCCCCATCCTAACCTAACTTACTCCTCACCTATTGAACATGAACTCTATGATAAGCGTTCCATTTCAACTTGAGTAATATTTTTTTAATGATAATCTTGTAGAATTTAACGTCAGCTGAGTGTGTGTATAAAATTCACCGTTAAATTAGATTGTGTAAGACTACGATTACTTAATGTTACTCTTTAGTTTATTACTTAAACGAAAATAAAAACACTTTACTGGTCACTTTTACTTGTAATGGCAGACAATAAAGTGGTATGAATGGGTGTAAAGCGTAACCTTATAGCGTCATGCCAGTGTCGGGTGGTGTGTGGGGCCCTGTGGGGGATTTTGGCGGTAACACATCTTTTCCGCCAGCTTTTGGTGACGTCACAATTGAGAAGAATAGCTCTGGCAGGTGTACCTCAGGGTAAAAGAATTAAAAGAGATCCATTGTCTTGTTCCTGGCTGTGAAATTGTAAATGAGGTTATTAGTGGTTTAGTTTTGCTATATGCTTGTAAGTGAAGAAATCAAGTGTGTGTGTGTGTGTGTGTGTGTGTTGTAGCAAAACACAGGTGGCTAGAGGGCGCCTGTCAGGAAAGCTGTGATCAGTTGCCGTTATAATGTTTTTATTGCCCTTCAACAACTATGGTCTTTTAAGCACGTAACAAGAGTAATGATTACACTAGTCCAGCAACAATTAAAGAAAATTACAAGAGATTTAAACCTTTTTATCTGTACCAACTAAAAATTTATTACTTTAAAACGAGTAATTAAAAACAGACCAAACCATAACGAACGTAACAGAAGGTGTTGTTTAATCACCAGGTGTAATAAACTGCCGTTCTTAATCAACACACGACCTAAAAAGCCTTATATTCACTTTTATAATACTGACTCAAACAAGAAGTAGACTTTAGAGTTAAAATAATAATAATAATAACAACAATAATAATAATACAAATAATAAAACAATAAAAATAACAATAATAAAAATAACAATAATAACAACAATAATAATAACAGTTCTAAAATTTCTTCTCAACCACAAGGAACAAAATTTAACACTTTCTAGATACAGTATTTACGTCAATATTAAGTAATTAATGTTTATTTTCCCTTTATTATACTGTAAATAGACCAAGACGTGAAAGTTATTTTGTGTTAATAAACTTTTACTTTTTTTTTACTGGATTATTAATTCCAAATTAACCTGTTTCTTCAGTTTATTTCACCTAACCTAAAGCTTCCTTGGTTTGGTTAGGTTAGGTTAGGTTAGCTGAGGTTAAATTAGGTCTAATAGGTTTTTATTTATTTATTTATTTATTTTGTTTATTGACTTATTTTTTATTTATATATTTACTTATTTATTTATTTATTTTGTGTATTTATTTGTTTTTTATGTATTTACTTATTTATTTATTTATTTTGTTTAATTTTTAATTTATTTATTTATATATTTACTTATTTATTTATTTATTTTGTTTATTTATTTGTTTTTTTTGTATTTACTTATTTATTTATTTATTTTGTTTAATTTTTAATTTATTTATTTATATATTTACTTATTTATATATTTATTTTGTTTATTTATTTATTTAGTTGATTTATTTATTTACTTATTTATTTATTTATTTTGTTTAATTTTTATTTTTTATTTATATATTTACTTATTTATTTATTTATTTATTTTGTTTATTTATTTATTTAATTTATTTATTTGCTTATAGTTTTTATTTTGAATCGTTTATTTAGTTGATTTGTTTATTTACTTATTTATTTATTTATTTTGTTTATTTATATTTTTTTATATTTACTTATTTATTTATATATTTACTTATTTATTTATTTATTTTGTTTATTTATTTATTGTGTTTATTTATTTATTTAGTTTATTTATTTATTACAATTATCCGGTACTGTACTTGTGTTATAAAGGCTAATCAAGTGTACAGTACAGTAGTAGTTCCCCTTAACTGTGTAATGATTAAGAACTACAGTGAGGGTATAGTGGTGATGATTGTGAGGGTATAGTGATGATGATTGTGAGGGTATAGTGGTGATGATTGTGAGGGTATAGTGGTGATGATTGTGAGGGTATAGTGGTGATGATTGTGAGGGTATAGTGGTGATGATTGTGAGGGTATAGTGATGATGATTGTGAGGGTATAGTGTGTGATGATTGTGAGGGTATAGTGGTGATGATTGTGAGGGTATAGTGGTGAGTGTGATTGTGAGGGATATAGTGGTGATGATTGTGGGGTATAGTGATGAGTGGGGTGTGATAGATGATGTGGAGGATAGTGGTGATGATTGTGAGGGTATAGTGGTGATTGTGCTGTAGTTTCTCTCTCGTTGTCTTGTTTTATCTCTCTCTCTTATTCTTCTTTATTCTCTCGTTCTACTTTTTCTCATGTTCTCTCTCTCTCTCTCTCTCTCTCAACAAACCGCATCAAGACTTTCTAAAAATTCCCCCTCCCCCCACCGGGTTTTTATCCTGGTGGTGTCGGCCGTGACGTGTGACGCAAGACGTGAGTGACGGTGTTAGAGTTACGTTACGCTGGCCGTCACTCCCTGGTGCTGGCGAGAATCGTGTTCTTTTCGCCCCGCCAAGTCGTAACGAAATAACAACATTGTTCATTAAGGTACAGTACACCCCCCCCCCCAACCCCTCTCTCTACCTCACTGACCTCAGTCTCATTCCCCCTCACCCGTCTCTGCTTTCACCCTTCCTCTTCTCTTCTTCCCTCACCTGCCCCACCTCCCCACCTCTTCTTCTTCTTCTTCTCACTCTTCCCTCACCCTCACCCTCCCTCACCCTTCTCACCCTCCCTCGCTCTTCCTCGTCTCTTCCTCACCCCTCTTCCCTGCTCTTTCCTCGCCCTTCCCTCACCCCTCCTCCCTGCCCTTCCTCACCCTCCCCTCACCCTTCCTCAATTCTTACTCCGCCCTTCCTCAATCTCTTCCCACCCCTTCCCTGCCCTCCCTCGCCCTTTTCCTCACCCTCCCTCACCCCTTCCCTCACCCCTCTCCCCACCCCTCACCCGCCCCTCTCACCCTTCCTGCCCCTCCCTGCCTCCCTCACCCCTCCCTCACCCCACCTGCCCTTCCTCACCCCTTCCTCACCCCTTCCTCGCCCTCCCTCGCCCTTCCTCACCTCCCTCACCCTTCCTCACCCTTTCCTCACCCCTGTCATCTGGGTTCCTTCCTCACCCTTCCTCGCCCTCCCTCAATTCTCTTCCTCAACCTCCCCACCTCCTCACCTCTTCCTCGTCTCCCCTCGTCTCTTCCTCGCCTTCCTCGCCCTTCTCACCCTCCTCACCCTTCCTCCCTCCCTCACCCTCCTCACCTCCCTGCCTCCTCACCTCCTCGCCCTCCCACCTCCTCACCTCCTCGTCTCCTCACCCTCCTCGCACCTCACCCTTCCTCACCCTTCCTCCCCTCCCTTACCTCACTTCACCTAACTCCCCCACTTAGCGTTAGGATGTTAAGGTTAGGTTAGGTTAGGTTAGGTTAGGTTAGGTTAGGTTAGGTTAGGTTAGGTTAGGTAATAATATAATGAATTCCTAGATAACAAAAGTAACTTAACCTAACTTAACCTAACCCTAACTTAACCCATTTTATCATTAATATATAAAACTATTTTCTTCCTTTATCTAATATAGCTGATATATACACATTAGCCTTCGAGTATTATTACTTATATATACTTATCATACGAGTCTACTTCTGTATATCTCCGTAAAGAATCAGGTATACCTTTCATACTATACATACTCTACGGACATAATCATACAGGTTTACAGTAGAGTTCAACACCTCTCTCTCTCTCTCTCTCTCTCTCTCTCTCTCTCTCTCTCTCTCTCTCTCTGTTTCTTGTATTGTATTAACGAGATTGAACAAGGGAATATTGAGTCATTTAGGAAGGAAAAGGAATTTAAGGGAAAGTAAGGAAAAGAAAGGTGGAAAAGGAGAAAAGGTAAGGAGAAAGAAAAGGTAAGGAAAGTAGGAAAAAAAGGAGTAAGGAAAGTGGAAAAAAGGTAAGGAAAGTAAGGTAAGGAAATAAAGATAGAAAATGAGGAAAAAAAAGGTAAGGTAAGTAAAGGAAAATAAGGAAAGTAAGATATATATGAGTGTTTTATAATTTCATCTTTATTTTAGTTCTATTGACACTGTTGTTGGTGGACGTTGATTACGGGCAAATATTATACTACGGTGTAAAGATTAACACTGAAGTGATGTATTGATGATGTCTATGAAACACCTGACCTGACCTAACCGAACTTTACCTAACCTAACCTACGCTAACCTAACCTAACCTACCTTAACCTACATCAACCTAACCCTAACCGAACTTTACCTAACCTACCTCCCTTAACTAACCGAACTTTACCTAACCTAACCTACCTTAACGTAACCGAACTTTACCTAACCTAACCTACCTTAACCTAACCGAACTTTACCTAACCTAACCTACCTTATCTAACCTACCTTAACCTACCTTAACCTAACCTAACCTACCTTAACCTAACCTCCCAAATAGTGTTAGTGTGGTTAATCTTTTGGTTGAAATAAAAGAGGTTAGAGATTCGTCAGGTGATCTAAATTG